TAATGAGATTTATAAAACTCATTCAGCTTTTGATACCAATCAATAGAATACCTCTGGTTGATAGCACATGACGGGCAGTGTTTGCCCATCATTGTGGCTGATAATGAAATTTATATGACTCATTCAGCGTGATACCAAGAGGTTCTTACCTCCTTTAATGGTTGCATTGTTTTGCAACCCCGACTGATCATCCAATCGATGTGTCGTTCCATTCCAGTGCTGGAATCCATAATGCAAAATCATACGATTAAAATCACACTTCTTGTACAACGCTGTCACCTCTTCCGGTGAAATAACCCGATCAAACATGTACACGTCATCAAGGAACGTCACGTGACTGTCTCCAAACTTCTTCCCTATTCCTGTGGAAGTAAAATCTTGAGGCAACCCTTCGTTCTTTTTGCCGACTTTCTCAAGCTTCAGCTTCCCATTAACGTAGATCCTTGTGACCCCTGTCTTTGTGTCGAATGTTCCCGCCAAGTGCGTCCAGTGCTTTTTCTTGCCAGCGGTAGACTTAGTGCTCGTAAAGGAGCTTTTAGTTGAAGAGTCACTTTGGTCAAACCACCGAAGAGATCCAGGGCTTTTGGATTTGACCCACATTGATATTGAGACTTCTTTTGTGGGTTTTCTCTTGAAGGATGCACCGTTGTAGGATATTTCGCCTTTCTTCAGGATAACGCCTCGTCCGCACGTTCCTATACAAAGGAAAAAAAAACATAAAATGCAATGTAAAGATTATTTATTTTGCGTTAAAATATAGGGAGAGATACTGACTTCGCCTCCCTGGCCAGAGGCTCATTACTGAAGTACTCAACGCTAGATCGAATTGGAATCAAGCAGTTGATTTTTACGGAGGAAAGAAAACTGGTGTGCCCGAAGAAACAAAACCCCTCGAAGCACAGAAGAGAACTAACAAGTAACTCTCTACTCACATTTTGTCCTCAGCTCCCTTCACAAAAATGAACTTTCAAATTTCAATTCGATCTCGGCTGCCTTATCGATTGGGTTGCAAAACCTGTTAGAGCATTACGCCTTCCACCCAGGAGTGGTAGATGCATTAGATTTTCATACGACAAAGAGCCCGGTGGGACTAGAACCCGGGTCGCATTCATGAGAGACGGCGCATTAGCATCGCTCACCACCCGCTTTTTCCTATGACATGTTTCGGACACATCTTCCTTTCTGCTTTCTGTTCATGTTGATCTTTAAATCATTAGAAGTTACGACAAACCTAGATTCTTGGTAGTCACTGACGCTCCATTGCTCAGCGTTGCGTCGTTGTTGTTGTTACTTTGGTCTTTTACGATGTTCTTTTTGTGAGCTCCTTCTTCGTCAAAATCTAAATGCATTACTGCGTCTTGGTCTGAAAAAGGAAAACAGGAAACAAAAGAACAGCTATTGTTGATGGAATTCCAGTTGTACACTGTGCTATTCCATTTATTCACAGTTTTTCCTCCTTTCCTGCCTGCCTGCCTGCCTGCCTGCCTGCCTGCCT